TTTTCTTGAATAAAATGAAGAAGTATAGGATTGCCAGGTATGGAACTCAAGGACTACACCTTCTATGCCAGTGTCAGACATCACTAATCAATGATTGTGTTCTTCTTCATGAGCCAGGACTCAGCCTCATCTTCAGCCCTGCCCTCAAGGCAGCCACATCTCTGGACTAGATGATCTCAAAGGGCACTTTAAAAAAAAATGGAGTGAGCAAGACCAGGAGGAGAAGTGAAGTGGCTTCAAATGGTGTCTTTTGTGATCATGCCATTCTGTGCCTTGGAGGAGAAGACAATGTTAGCTCAAGTTCCAAGACTAAAGTTTCACCAGGTTTTTTCTAAGCCACTAATCCTTTTTTCTTTTGCCAAGGAATGAGGGGAGGGGCAGCTCTGCAGGTCTCATGAACACATGTTGGACCTCAAGCTCTAAAGGTCTTCTTCCTCTCCTCATTGAGGATTGCCACCTGAGAGTGTATGTTCCCAGGCCTCGTTATTTAAAAAATAATCCTCACCTGCTTTTTTTATTTGAGCTGGAGTCTTACTCCGTCGCCCAGGCTGGAGTGCAATGGCATGCTCACGGTCACGCCAGCATCGACCTGCTGAGCTCAGCCTTTCCAAAGTAGCCGGAACTACAGGTGCATGCTACCATGCCTGGCTAATTTTTTGATTTATTGTAGAGTTGAGGTCTCCCAAGTTGCCCGGAATGTTCTCAAACCCGTGGGCTCAGGCAATCCCCTCACCTCGGCCTCCCAACGTGCTGGGATTACAGACTCGAGCCACTGTGTCCGGCTCTTCCCTGCTTTTTACAGTGATTGTTCAGAAGCATTTTTAGCAAGTGGCTTAGGGTTTTTGTTTTTGTTTGTGGTAGTACTTGTTTTTATCCTGACCTGGCTCAAAAGTTTTTTTGGGAATGGTATGACCAAGATGGTGAGAGAATCAGAACTTACTGTGACTCCAGACTGGCTTCAGGAGTTTCTAAGAGAGCCCCTTCTAACCAGACAAGAGGCCCAATATAGATCACTGTTACTGTCAGTTTTATAAGTGGGAAGGATTCCCAGAGGCAGAGATGGCAGTTTATTGTTGTTATTAAGAGCTTTATTGAGATATACTTTACATACCATAAAACTCACCCTTTAATTAATTAATTAATCTATTTATTTAAGTCAGAGTCTTACTTTGTCATCCCGGCTAGAGTGTAGTAGCATGCTCTCAGCCACTGCAATTTCGACCTGCTAGGTTCAGGTGATCCTTCCACCTCAGCCTTCCAAGTAACTGGAACCACACGTGTGTACCACCATTCCCGCTAATTTTTTGATTTACTGTAGAGACAAGGCCTTGCCATGTTGTCCAGGCTGGTCTCACACCCCTGAACTCAGGCAATCCTCTCACCTCCACCTCCCAAAATGTTGGGATTACACCATGTCCAGCCTAAAATTCACCCTTTTAAAGTGTACAGTTCAGTGTTTTTTTAGTGTATTCACAATGTTACACAGCTGTCACCACTAATTAATTCCAGAACATTTTCATCCCCCTCACAGAAGTACTGTCTGTTTTCCCATCCTGTGGCCTGTCTGTATGTGGGTGTTGATTGTGGAGCAAAATGGGCTGCATTTGCTTCTAGTTTCCTAGTGGCAGTCTAATGCTGGATAAATTGCCCCTTAGCACATGCGATGGTTAGGTTTGTTTGACTCCTCCAAATCTCATGTTGAAGTTTGATTCCATCGTTGGAGTTAGGGCCTAAAAGGAGGTGTTTGAGTCATAGGAGAGGATCCTTCAGGAATAGAAAAACGCCCTCCCCGGGTAGAGGGTGGTGAAGTGAATGAGTTCTTGTTCTATTAGTTACTGCTAAAAGAGAGCCTGGCCCCTCCTCCCTCCCTTCTTGCTTCCTCTCTGGCCATGGGATCTCTGCACATGCTGGCTCCCTTTTGCCTTCCGCTGTGAGTGGAAGCATCCTAGGCCCTCTCCAGATGCAGATGGTGGTGCCAGGCTTCTTGTATGGCCTGGAGAAGCGTGAGCCAAATAAACCTCTTTATAAGTTACCCAGCCTCAGGTATTCCTTTAGAGTAACCGAGCCAGACTCAGACAGCACCTGTCAGTCTTGAGTTGGCATCAGAATCACCTGGAGGACTTGTTGGTACATAGAGTGCTGTCCCCTTCCCCTCGTTTCTCATTTAGATGTTTTGGGGTGAGGTTTGATCATTTGTATTTCTAATAAACTGCTGCTGCTGATCTGGACTTTTGAACATGCTATTCTCACCACCTGAGAATTCATCTTCACCTTTACCTGACTGATTCCTACTTGTCCATTATATCTCAATTTGGCTTTCTGGAGGAAGATGTCTTTCCTGATATTTGCCCCAGCTAAACTTGGAAGCCCTTTCTCTGAGGCCTCGTCTTGGAGTTTATTACACTGCTTTGTAACTGCTGATTGATGGTCTCTTTCCCCCACTAGACTGTGAACTCCTGGAGGTTTCTGTCTTTTTTGTCTAACACTTGATCCCTGGTTCCTAGCATAGGGCTTTGCTCAAAGTGGGTGCAGTCACCACTGCTAGGCCAGTCTTTCTTGAAGCTTCCCAGAGAGCTTTAACTCCAGGGTCGTTTGGACCTGAGATGGTGAGAGAGAGGCAGAGAGAGGAGCAGGACGGTGGAACAAAACCAGAATCCTCTCCCGTCCATCCTTTCTGGACTTCTCGGCAAACAAAACGACTTGGGTTCCGCATCACTTATTTCTTGCCACAGTAATGCTGTGTAACAACAACCAAAAAATGACTCACAGGCCTGGGGTGGTCGGTTAGGCAGCTCTGCCGATCCTGCCTGTGCTCACTCGCGTGTCTGGGATCGACTGAATGGCTGAAGGCTGATCTAGAAAAGCCTGCGCTAGAGAGAATGAGACACCTTGGGTCTGTACCTTGTGATTCTCATCCCTGCCCTTGAAACTGACTTGGGCTTGTCTTTCTCATGCTGATGGTAGAAGATGAAAGTGAGGAAGCCCCATTACACAGCACTTTTTTTTAATTGTGGCAGAATACAGGATATAAAATTTGCCATCTCAAAAATAAACAGTTCGGTGGTATTCAATGCAGTCATAGTGCTGTGTGAGTCTCACGATTACCCGTCTTCAGAACTCCTTTCATCTTGCAAAGCTGGAGCTCTGTTCCCATTCCACAATCTCTCCCCATCCCCCCACCTTCCCTGGCCCTTGGCACCCACCGTTCTGTTTTCTGTCTCAGTGATTTTAGATACTCTATGTCGTGTCTGTGGAATCCTACAGTCTTTATCTTTTTGTGTCTGGCTTGTTTCACTTAGCGTGATGCCCTCAAGGTTTGTCCATTTGTAGCATGTGACAGAATTTCCTTCCTTATGAAGGCTGAATGATATTCCACTGTATGTACACGGCACATTTTGCTTATTCATCTGTTGATGGACGCTGCGTGTTGCTCCCACATTTTAGCTATTGTGAGCAAATATCTCTTTGAGACTCTGCTTTCAATTCTTTTGGCTATAGATCCAGAAGTGACATTGTGGCATCATATAGTTTATTTATTTATTTACTTTTGATGCAGGGTCTCTCTGTCACCCAGGCTGGAGTGCAGTGGCACAATCACGGCTCACTGCAGCTGCGACCTCCTGACTCGGATGATTCTTCTGCTTCAGCCTCCCGAGTGGATAGGACTGTAGGTGTATGCCACCACAACCAGCTAATTTTCGTATTTTTTATAGAGATGAGGTCTCACTATGTTGCTTAGACTGGTTTTGAACTCCTGGGCTCGAATAATCCTTCTGTTCTGCCTTGGCCTCCCAAAGGGCCAGGATTACAGACGTGAGCTACGTTGCCCAGCCCATTTTTAATTTTTTTGAGGAACTCCCCCCTTACTATTTTCAGCAGCAGCAGCAGCAACAGCACTGCTTTACATTCCCAACAACAATGTACAAGGTCTCCAACTTCTCCACATTCTCACCAACACTTGTTATTTTGTGTTTTTTGATGGGTGTGAGGTGGTATCTCATCATAGTTTTGATTTGTTTCTCTAATGATTATACACAAGCACTTTTAAAGCTTTTGTTAGCCTGGTGTGGTGACTCATGCCTGTAATCCCAGCACTTTGGGAGGTGGAGGCAAGAGGGTTGCCTGAGCCCAGGGGTTCGAGACCAGCCTGGGCAACTTGGTGAGAACTCATCTCTACAATAAATCAAAAAATTAGCCAGGAGTGGTGGTGCATGCCTGTAGTTACAGCTACTTGGAAGGCTGAGGCAGAAGGATCGCTTCAGCCCAGCAGGCTGAGGCTGCGGTGGCCGTGAGCATGCCACTGCACTCCAGCCTGGGTGACAATGAGACACCGACCCCAAAAAAACAAAAACAAAAACAGTCTTTGCTTGTGTCACATTTGCTGATATCCCATTGGCCTAAGCAAGTCACATGACTTGAGTGACATGGTGAAAGGCATGGCTGGTAGGCTGGCTGAGGTAGGGAACTGGGACTATATTAGTGATCTACCATAGGTTCATACTGACACGGCAGAAGCTGACCAAGAATCCAAGCAGAGGCTTTGGTGTTATTGTGTCTTAAAAACACCATGCTGGATGCAGTAGCTCATGTCTGTAATCCCAGCACTTTGGGAAGCTGAGGAGGGAGGATCACTTGAGCTCAGGAGTTCGAGACCAGCTTGGGCAGCAGAGTGAGACATCATCTCTACAAAAAAAAAAATAAAAGAAAAATAAAAAAATAAGCCAGGTGTGGTGGGAAACACACCTGTAGTCTCAGCTACTCAGGAGGCTGAGGCAGGAAGATCGCCTGAGCCCAGGAGTTCGAGACTACGGTGAGCTGTGATCGTGCCACTGCACTCTAGCCTGGGTGACAGAATGAGACCCCACCTCAAAAAAATAATAAATAAATAAAAACACGTGATTTTTTTTTTGGTTTTAATCCTAGTGCAGAGGGACTGTTCAAAGAGGGAGGCTCTTCAGAGATCAGGAAAGGTCCTAATAGCCTGATCCTTCCTTGTACAGGATTGGAGGCTGTCGTCATTGGAGAAGTTCAAGAGAATGTTACCCTGCACTGTGGCAATGTCTCGGGACCGAGGGGCCTGGTGACCTGGTACTGGAACGACTCGGAGCCTGTCTTCCTTGTCTCCTCCAATTCTAACCTCATCCCGGCCGAGCCTCGCTTCTCTCTTGTGAACGCCAGCTCCCTGCACATCGAGGCGCTGAACCTGCAAGATGAGGGGAACTACACCTGCCAGGAGATCCAGAATGAGACTCAGTGGTTCCAAGTGTGGCTGCGGGTGGCCAGTAAGTGGGGCAGGTGGGGACTGGGGCTAAGGGGTGCTCAGAGCCTTGGGCAGAAGGAGGCCACGGTCAGGAACATGCACTTTGGCATCCAATGGCCCGGATTTCATACTGGACCCTACCGCTTGCAAGTTGAGTGACGTTTCACACCTGTGTTTGCTCACTTGTAAAATAGGGATACATATAATTCTTGCATCTTAGAATTGCTGTGAAGAATAGATATCAATTTATAAAGTGCTTTCAGTGGTTCCTGGCATATTAATTTGCTTTTATTTTTAGTTTGTTGATAATGTCATCCTTGCTGTTAGTATAATTTTATTAATGTAACAAAGCTATAGTAACATTGAAGCCAGATGCTATGGTGTGGGCTGGTAGTTCCAGCTACTGAGGAAGCTGAGGTGGGAAGATTGTTGGAGTTCAGAGGTTTGAGGCTGCAGTGAGCTATGATCGTACCACTGCACTTTAACCTGGGCAACAGAGTGAGACACCGTCTCTAAAAAAAACAAAACAAAGCCAGGCACAGGGGCTTATGCCTGTAATCATGGCACTTTGGGAGATTGAGACAGGTGGATTGCTTGAGCCCAGGAATTAAAGACCAGCCTGGGCCACATAATGAGACCTCATCTCTACAAAAAATAAAAAAATTAGCACTCGCCTGTAATCCAACCTACTTGGGAGGCTGAGGTGGGAGGATTGCTTAAGCTCAGGAATCTGAGGCTGTGGTGAGTCATGAGTGTGTGGCTGCACTCCAGCCTGGACGACAGAGTAATACCCTGATATAAAAATAAAAACCCAATGGAGTCAGACTGCCTGAATTCCAATCCTAAGGCTATCTCTTAGTTCTCTGTCACCTTGAGTAAATATCTTAATAGCTTTGAGCCTCAGTTTTCCTCATTGTTAACTGGGGATGATACACTGCATGCATAGTAGTGCTAAGTACAAGGCTTAGCATGAGCCACTCTTGCTAGTATGCTTTCTAGAATAGTCTATCATATCTGCTGATACACACTTATGAATTTAGAGCAGCAGTTTGAAACTACAGCCCGTGGGCTACATCCGATCTGCCACCTATTTTTGTATGGACCGCAAGCTGTGAATATTTTCTACATTTTTAAATGGTTGAAAAGAGGCAAAAGGAGAATAATGTTTGTGATGTGAAAATTATGTGAAATTCAAATGTCAGTGTTCATAAATAAGATTTCATTGGTGGCTGGGCGTGATAGTTCACACTTGTACCCCAGCACTTTGAGAGGCTGAGACAGGAGGATTGCTTGATACCAGAATTTTGAGACCAACCTGGACAACATAGTGAGACTTTATCTCTACAAAAAAATAAAAAAAAAATTAACCATGTGTGGTGGTATACACCTGTAGTCCCAGCTACTTGGGAGGCTGAGGTGAAAGGATCACTTAAGACCGGGAGACTGAGGCTGCAGTGAACTGTGATCATGCTATTGCACTCTAGCCTGGGTGACAGAGTGAGATCCTGACTCAAAAAAAAAAAAAAAAAAAAAGGGCAACCCCTTTGGATCCCCACCCAAGGACAGGAGCAGGAACTTTTCTGTCCTCTCAATTAATCCTGCTTTCTCAAAAAAAAAAAAAAGAAAAAAGAAAGAAAAAAAGCTTTTATTGGAATATAGCCACATTCATTAATTTATCTATGATCTCTGACTGCCTTTGTTGCTACAGTGGCAGAGGTGACTGACTGTGACACAGATTGCATGGCTTGCAAAGCCAAAAATATTTGCTCTCTGACCCTTTACAGAGAAAGTTTCCTGGACCCTGGTTTAAAGGGACATCCATGTTCTAGATCCAGGACATATCATTTAGTAGAAATTCCCAAGTGCTCACTTTACTGCTCAGGACCCAAGTTTACTTGTCTGTGAAATAAAAAAATTTACTTATTCCTTTATTCGATGTATATTTATTGAGAGCCTGATGCCAGGCCCTGTCCTAGGCATTAGGTCACAGTCATGAACAAGACAGACAAGGTCACTGCCCTCGCGGAGTGAGTAGTCTAGAGGGGGAAGACCGATGAGAAACAAGTAAACAAATGCAATGCAGAGACTTGAGATGGGATGACGTGATTCTCTGAAGTACTTTAAATTGGAAGCTTAGAGGGGCGCTCTTGGAAGTCGTGACATTTAAACTGAATGATAAACAGGGCTGCGCGCAGTGGCTCATACCTGTAATTCTAGTGCTTTGGGAGGCTGAGGTGGGAGCCTTCAGGTGGAACTCTTTGAGGCTAGGAGTTTGAGACCAGTCTGGGCAACATAGCGAGACCCCCATCTGCAAAAATTTTAAAAATTAGCTGGGTGTGGTGAAGTGCCTATAGCCCCAGCTATGCAGGAGGCTGAGGTGGGAGGATCATCTTGAGCCCAGGAGTTTGAGGTTATGGTGAGCTATGATTGCAGTACTACTCCCCAGTTTTCTTTTTTAAGAAGAAAAAAGAAAAAGAAAAAAAGAAGAGAGAGGCTTCCAGGCACAGCAAGCACTAGTGCAAGATGGGTTTAGCATGGGGAGAAGTCTGGTGTGACAGCGGCCTTGTATCTAAAGAGGAGAGGCTATGGGAAATATAGGAGACCAGGCCAGATCATATGGGGCCAGGTAGGACTGATGTTATTGAATTATACCCCCTGAAAAGGTAACCTCTGGTACCTACGAATGTGACCTTATTTGGAAATAGTCTTTGTAGATATGATCAAGTTAAGGTGAGGTCATGACAGGGGGCCCTAGTCTAGTTTGACTGGCATCCTTATGAGAAGAAGAAAACGCCATGTGAGGACAGAGACACACAGGAAAAATATCTTGGAACCACAGAGATTGGAGTGACACAGCCGCAAATCAAGGAATGCCAAAGATTGCTGCCCCCACCAAATGCTAGGAAAGAAACAGGGAAGGAGTCTCCCCTCCAGCCATTGGAGGGAGTGCGGCCCCACTGGTCTCTTGGTTTCAGACTTCTGGCCCACCAGAAATGTGAGAGAATTAATGTCTATCATGTTAAGCCACTGGGTTTGTGGTGTTTTGTTAAGGCAGTCATAGGAAACTAATACCCCTGGTCAGGAGTTAGGATTTTATTCTGGGTGCAGGAGAAACTCTTGGAGCTTCCAGCAGGGGCGTGGCATCATTTGATTTGTATGTGGTGAATCTGTGTGTTCTCTAGACAAACTGATCAAGGGTCAGGTGTGGTGGCCTGTGCCTATAATCCCAGCACTTTGGGAGGCTAAGGCAGGAGGATTGCTTGAGTCCAGGAGTTTGAGACCAGCCTAGGCAACATGACAAGACCTTATCTCAACAAAAAATAAAAAATTAGCCAAGTGTGATAATAAATGCCTGTAGTTCCAGCTATTCAGAAGGTTGAGGCAGAAGGATCACTTGAGCCCAGGAGGTCAAGGCTGTGGTGAACTGTGATCATGCCACTGCACTCCAGCCTGGGAGACAGAGTAAGACCCTGACAGGAAAGGAAGGAGGGGGAGGGAGGGAGGGAGGAAGGAAAGAAGGAAGGAAGGAAGGGAAAAGCTGATAAAATAAAAGCCAGTTGTAGGTCCAAGATATTGTTGATCAAAACCAAGGTGGTAACAGTGGCCTTGGTGAAAGCGTACAGATTCAGAAAATATTTTGGAGGGAAACCATCAAGACTTGGTGGGAGGTTGGAAGTGGTGGATAAAGGAAAGAGAGACTTTAAGAACACTTCTAGATTTTGGGATGATGTCTGTGGTTTCTTCCAATTCTCAAAGCTTATGGAATCCGTGAGTGCAGTATTTCTATGTCTGGAGATGCCACAGATAAATTCCTGAATGGCCAGAAATGAATGTGGGTGACATAAAAAATGTCACCCATCTTGACTTTGCTGTTTGGTTCTTACTGTGAACCCATGAGCAAGTGCTGACTGGTTTTCTTCAGTCCAGCTGTCCAAAGGAATTAGCAATTCCTTCATGTCTATATCATTGATAAATGTTTTTTCTTTTGACCACAGAGGATTAAGGTGGCATTACAGCTCTTTAAAAATCATCATTCTCCAGTTTGTGACGACTTAATCTGACACTGATTTGTTAATCATTGGCTAGGTTTATTGGAGGATGGGTTAGTTTCATTATTTCCCTATAGGGAGATAAATGCGAGGTCTTGTATGTGAACTTGGATTTTGAAAGATGTCGCTGAACTCCAGTGGCACTTGGTACTCTCTGCAGGGAAGTCCTTTGCATGTCTGAGTCTTTGTGATGTGATTTGTATTGTGGAACTTTTTTCATTTGGAAATATATGGTGCAGGTTGTAGGGCTTGTTTGTGAAAATAGGACACAGATACACTTTGGTTCACATACTCCAGAGCCCTCTGGGATCTCATTCCTTGCTCCCATCCTGAGAGGGCCCTAGGCAAAACACCAGACACCTCTGGGCACCAGAGAGCCCCTTCTTGCTCTCCAGACAGTGGCTGATGGGGAGGGCTTGTTGTCTCCAATTGGAAAACTTGGCTCTCACTTTTTCATAGAAGATTTGGGACTGTGGATTGGGTTTGATGTCATTGCTATTTCTGGGAGGGCAGTGGTATTGCTGAGTGACCGAGAGCATATACTCTGAGGTCCAGATGCCTGGGTTCACATCCGGGTCCTGCCAGCTGTTGTCTTTGTGACCTTGTGGAAGTCCCCAGAACTCCTCCATCCTTAGTTTTGTCATCTGTGAAATTGAAGGTAATAGAACCTAGTCACAGACTTGTGGCACACATCAATGAGATCAACTAGCATAACTCAGCACACAGTATGCACTGGGTCCGTGTTACTTTGATTGATTGGTTCAGCCGGTGATGGGATTCCCATGGGACGATGCATCTCAAGTTCCCAACCATCAGTTTACATCTGGGTCTTTCCACTAGGCCTTGCTGTGGGTTGGGGACTCTACATGCCCAGATCTTTTCATTGATGTGGTTGCTAACTGGGTCACATTCCGTCCTTTTCTTGAGGAGGACGGTTTGGAAACATTCTAACGTGACCTTGGAATTGAGGGGG